TTTTCTCAGCCTAGCTTTGGGGATTCTGACAACTGAACTTAGAAATCTTTTGTGTACAAAGCATGTGCTCTGATGCTGATGAATGCACAGCAATGTCATCTTCTAGTGCTATAGAAGACCAAGCATTATTGTCTTCTATATTGGGTAAATATCTACTATGTTGAATAAAAAGACATATTCCTCTTCCTTTACCCTGATTCATGAGCAACTAGTGCATGCCCAAGAAACTTCAGCCTTTTTATGAGTGTCCTAGGAAATATTCCATGTATGCAATAGAATTTCAGAGTCTAAAGTATTCTCTGATGGGTGGGCATGATGGCTCAAAGACTTTGTTGATATGATATCGGGCGTGCATTGCAGATTCTTAAGGCTTTGCATCATAGCCTTGTTTCTGAGCTCAGATGTGCCTGTATGAAAACTGAGCAGATTTAATTCTCCATGGCCACAGAAAGTAGGACCAGCAATAAAGGGGTATAAGTTGTAGCTACGGAGATTCCTGAAGGCAAAAGGAGAAGAGGACGGCAGAGGATGAGATGGTTAGATGGCATCCCTGAAGCAATGAGCATGAAACTGAGCAAACTCAGGGAGGCAGTGAAGGACAGGAAGGCCTGGCGCAATGTGGTTCATGGGGTCACGAAGAGTCGGACACGACTTAATGACTAAACAACAACAACACGGAGATTCCATTTAAATGCAAGGAAAAAGCTTTCTGATGAGAAGAACTGTACAACAGTAGAACAGTCTACCTATGAAGGTTGTGGTTCTCCACCTCTGCAGGTTTTTGAGAAGAGTGGAGTATTCAAAATGTTTCAAATAGATTTAAAATATACTTAATTTTTAATAACATTTTACTTTTTAATAATGATTCTCCATATTTTTATAATGATTGTTTTTTATAATGAATGATTGTTTTTATACTGTTGTTTTACTGTATCCATGTAGTCCCTTCTAACTCTACAATTCAGTGCTTAGGAGTTGATAACCCTATTCTTGCCAAACTTTTGGGTCACAGTATATGGTTTCCCTTCCCAGCCTGTTTCTGACAGAAAATCTAAGGAAAAATTGGGCAGATACATTTTAAATGGAATAATCTAAAAAAAGGAAAGAAAAAAGAATGGCCTAGATAGAACAAGCCATCCATTCTCTCCCATCACCCTCTTTCAGCATTGTTATAATTCTTTAAAAAGAGTATACGGTCCTCCAAATTGTTCCTGATTAATTTGAAAGTTCAAAGGAGAGTTGAGTGTCTCTTTTAACCAAATATGATTTTGAGAGTCTCTAAAATCTTGTTGGATATAATTGGGAAGTTCAGCTGACATTGTTTTGCATGGACTTGGTGGAACAGTGAACAAGATGAAAGGCATAAAACATCTCCTAAAGCCAGATTTTTTTCCCTTCTGCTTATGACTATTACAGCAAATGATAAATTCTCCCCAGCACCCTTTTTTTGGATTAACTTAATAGTAATTATATTGAGTTTGTCTTTTTTCTTAAAAAAACCCCCTGCATTAGAGATGAAATGATTTATTAGCTGTTCTTGATATCTGCTTAAAAATGAAAATGATTAATTTTTGTGCTTTACTCTAAATGCAGACATTTTGCAAACATATCTTGATTGCTAGTGAATGAAATAGCAGTATATTCAAAGAGCTAACTTGAAGGGGAGGAGGTGCTATTAAAAAAAATCAGATTTAACAAATGTTGCAGTCTAAATAAAACCAGTTGTGACGGTTTGCTTTTTTTCTGCCATCTCAAGAATCTGTCAATGTTTTTTATCTGGGTGTAAAAAAATGATGAGTTAAAATATGTGTTTTTCCTGCTGCTTAGGGCCATAGAATATACCACCACTGAAAGTTGTGATTCCTACTTTTAAGGTCTTCTTCATCCCTGACTTTTGAGAATGGTGGATGGTGAATAAATGACCTGTCCCAAGATCTGAGTATCCAAGACGGAAGGTATGAGAAAATGGGCTGATGAGTTAATAATTTATTCCACTTCAGTTTGGGTTTAAACTATGCAGATCACATATATAATTTGGGAAATGGCAGGCAGAAGGGTTGAGATGATTCCCATTGGTGGATACAGCTCTCCTTGATTGTGCATTGGACTATAGGAAAGGGACCCTCTGTTAATTTCACTGTAAGAAGATTCAAAAGGATGGTTCCTAATGTCTTCCAAGTCATTCAGATATTCAACAGTTGGGATGCTCTGTAGAGATGTCAGCTACATGCAATATTTTCTTCAGAGGTTGTGATCTGTCTTTAGTGTGTTGGTGGAGAAATCAATAGGCTTGTTTGACATACTGCATAAGTCACTTTGTGCTGACAGGATCAACTCATTGTACAGAATTCTGCATGTATGGTGAAGCAGATCTGGAGTTCCTTATAAACATACTTTGGTGACTTCTTGAGCTGAGGTCCTAAGATGATGAAATAATCTGCACTACCGTTGAAGATGGTGATCCTCATGAGGATAGCATGGGAAACCAAGGTCAGCCAAATGTTTGCAGAACTATAGGTCCCAGCAACTCAATGACCAATGCTGAGGAATTCTGGGAGTTGTAATCCATCAACTTCTGAGGAGCTAATAGTTCCCCACCAGCTGTTGCTTTTAAAATACATGGTACAATCAGGAAGCTAAAACTAGTTATTTGACACCCTGATGCATTTGCTATCTAGTGCAACAGTATGAAAAAGATAAAAGTAGGGTTGGATTTCTTTAATGATTTGGTGATGAGGGAAGGTCCTGTTGAAAGAGAGGTGTGACAAAGAAATAAATGCTTAGATATACAACATGATATGTAAGTTCTGTTAAAACCCAACCCAGATATAGAGCTATAACATTCTATTACATAAGAAAGTTCTGCAATTCAGACTTTAAATAAGCAACTTTATTAAAAGAGTCTAAGACACTTACCTTACCCCTAGTTACTGTCATGTTCTATTAAAAGCCACAGTCTGTCACTTATTATCCTTTGCTCATTTTTCCTTTGTTATTAAAAAAAATTGTTGTGAGCTGTGTGGATCATTTACAATTTATTAACAAGATGATCATTTTGATGATACAGTTAGAGGTTTTCCATTACCTTACATGCTCACCAAATAATATATATATTTATATATATATTTAAAAAAGGCTTCCATTTCATACATAATGAACACCCTTTGTTCCTGTCTTTTGCAAACAAGTGTGGTTATTTCATACTCACTGAAAACAAAAAGCTCTGGTTAGTTTTTAAATAAAACTCTGTGTGTGTGCGTGTGTGCGCGTGTGTGTGTATACCTGTGTGAGTATGTATGTATATATAATATATTCAAAACAAATTATATGTATATATTTATATAATAACTTTTTCCATTGAGATGTGCTTGAGTAATGAGAGCTAGCTTCTCTAGGCGAGAGAGAACTGGTTGGTGATTAGAAGTTGAATTTTTTTTTTTTTTAAATAAAAATGGAAGAGAGAATGGGAAGCCAGCTAAATGAAAATCTTTAAGCCTCCAGCTCGTGGTGGGCATACATCTGAGCTGATGGGAGTTGGCTAATATAATAATGAACTCTTGAACTTTTTTGGCCAACACTAATTGCTTCATGGAAGAAAAATTTAGCTTACTTTCACTGGTGGCTTGGAGCATATCTCTGCATAATACAAGGAAAAGAAAACAAGTGTTCTCTAAATGCTGTCCGACTGTGACTATTACTGATTTCTAACGGTTAAGGTTTGCTGGAATTCAGGGGAATCTACAAGGTGTGGTCAAAAATGTCAAGATGGCCGCCATGATGGTGCAATCAAATCACCCATTTTTTTAATGCCCGAGGCACATAAAAAAATGAGCAGAGCTTTGAACACACCATTGTGGCCATCATCTTAACATTTTTGACCACACCTGCAGACATCCATGCTGGAGTTGAAAGGTGTTGGAGTCCAACAACAGTTAGAGGCCATCAGCTTCCCCCCTTGTTCTAAAATAAACAGTGAAAGATGCTTTCTTGTTCTCTGGGAAATGGCAATATTTTACTTCAAACTGCAGGAGCGATGGAATTACAGAATTCTCTTGTATACAAGGGATCACAGATAACTAGGTAGCTTCTCAGTGAGAAGGCTAAAGTAGAACTTTTCTCCTTGGCATACAACTTTTTCTGATGAAGGGATTCCCCTCTGTCAATGTAGGAATAGTTGCTTACACAAACCCTTCTCTCCCTACACCCAACCTGATCTAAGATGACTAAAAAATTCTATTATTTTGCGGTTTCAGGGTAAGGCCAGTCCTTTCCATATCTTAAGGCATAGACTTTCAAATTAATTTAGCAGTTACTTTTGTAATCCTGTTGAGCTTCGGTTCTAAAATGCAATGGTGAAATGTCAAGAATTTGGTATTTACTATTTGTGGTAATGTTTTTCAAGGAAGCTTGGTTTACCAGTAAGCTTCAACATTAAAATAGCTTCTTAAGTGTCTCCCCCAAACCCCTCCCAACCATCCCCAAATGGTAAAAAGCTGACAAATTGCCCCAGCAATGAACAGGAAGTAGTGAAACCATCAGTATAAAACAAAACAGAATGTAATCCTTTGTACGAAAAGCTTGTCTGCCCCTCTGAAAGCAGGAGGAGGAGGAGGAGGAGGAGGAGGAGGAGGAGGAGGAGAAGAAGAAAAAGAAGAAGAAGAGAG